GATTCATAAATTTATGAATTACTTGAATAACAACATCCTGTGACACAATTCACAATGTAAATAGAAAAATAAAAACTTCCATCTTAGATGTAATGGTTACTAATACACGTAAATCATATACCATAGGAATTTACAGGAAACCCATAGGTATCATAGACTGCTTAGTTTTTGAATTTACAAGATTTGTAATACCCAAAATGCTAAGAAGAAAAACACATCACTACAACCCTCCTAGATAACATCATTTGTCTACAGTTGGGCATCACATGTTATCACACCCTCCGGCCTATTGGGACACAGATATTTTCTAGTGAAACCAGATTTGCACAATTCTTGTCAGCTGATGCTCCTGTGTTTGGTGACTGTTTTCCTAAGAACTTTCATTGAACCATTTGCTAGCTGTGATAAAATATGGCAATATTTTTGTTATGGTATGGAGTCAATTTGGGCAGCTGGTGGTATGTGAAAGGATGGTCACTGTTTCTCAATGCATCACATTCTTGAGAAAGACCTATTTATTTCTCTATATCTGTAACTAGCTTACCAGACAAAGCAGTGATTTTATGCAAAATAGGGGCTTCTGCTTAATCAGCTCAAGTAACAAAATGATAAATTGAAAGTTAGTGCTTTACCATTCTCCTGAAGTCAGGCCAGTCACCAGATATGAACCCTATCAAATTAATGTGGTCCACCCTTGATCATTCTGTGTGAAAGCATTCCAATACCACTTTCTAAGGACACCTTCGTCCAAATTTTTACTTGAAGTGGGGTACAATCTTACAGGTCTATATTTCAGGTGTGCAACTTTATTTCACTCTTAAATATTGTAAAGGGCAGGTCTATTAAACAATAATGATGATCTTTGTTTCATGTTTGTTTATGTAATAAAACAGCATTCTTTTTGGAATTGGTGTCTATTTACTTATGGGTAGGTTGTGTATTTGCTTTCTTGAATGATATTTTACAGTTTTTTAGTGACAAACATAAAAATACTTATATACATCTAGTCTAACAAACTGGTGATGTAACTATGCAGCTTTATATACAAATTATACATGAAAATTGAATAATAAAATACTGAGAATGTTCCATTTCACTCAAGGCATTATCCACTAACTCTGTGATGAAAATGAAAGGTTGGCATAAACAGTAGATAATGCATCAAACTGTATTTAAAAAAAAATAATATTAAAGAAATAGAAATAAAAATAGATGCATTGTATTGGTCAAACAAGTGCACATATTCCTCTGACCTCAAAATTTTCTGATTAAAATTTAGAGTAATCTCAGTTTGCTCTAAAATTCACATATCGTTTAAATCATATTTATTTTATTAATGCATCTTTGAAGTATTAATCTTAGTCAATGTCTAATAAAAGATGAAGTTTTTTAAATCTGTATTGTTGCCAACTGTTGAAAGAAAATTACAAAATGTGTCAAACATAAGTTATCATAAGGCCTAAATTTATAAATAATTTATCATAGAAGCACAAGTGGGTTTCTTGTATGAGATTTTTTCCAACAAAAAGTAGATCAATGTAGGAAAATATGACTTAGAAATCAAATATCAATAAATGAGAAAGAACAAGAGAGATTTTGTTTTCGAATTTACTTTATTTCTAGGATGAATGGTGAAAAGGACAACTGTGTTTGAGAATTAATGAAAATATGTGAGAAGGGTGGATAAACATATTTCTGTGTTATTATTTGTTATATAAATATCAAATAATCATATTTTTTTCCTTGAAAATTGGTTTAGGTTCCAAACAGCTTTTGATTGTGAAACTTAAAGTTGTACAAATTCTATTAATAATACTTAAACATTATATAAAATCATAAGCATATATATATATATATATTTTTTTTTTTACTTTAGACAAGTGCGACTTACTCCAGAAAGTGCAAGCAAGGAAGTCGCATTGCTACAGTCACTCTGTGGTCCAACAAAAGATAAACATGCTTTACAGTCACTGTGGTACACATCAGGTATTTTATTTGTATATTAGTTTTTACAGTTACTTATAATAATGACAAGTAAGTAATCTAAGAAACTGAAAATATTGCTATTGCATTTTGCCTACTAGATAAAGTATTTTTAATGTTTATCACTAAGTAGAAACTCATATACTTATAGCATGTGTGTATAGTGTTTGTACTGTATGTTATATTAATCTGTCAAGTGAGGAGTTTAAATGTAATTGACACCTTATAGTACAATAAAAATCAGATAATTAAATTTTATAACTTCAGATCAAATGAATTCTAGAAATACCTCTACTTGATACACAGCATGATATTTTTTGTTCATGATGTTAGAAAAACACGTAGGTTCATGAAGTCTTAATATAAAATGATAAACCCCCTGTAATCCGAGTGCTTTCAAAAGGTGGACCTTTCGAAAGCACTCGGGATACAGGATTTTTATTATTTTACAATATTTTTTTTTAATTTTCTGACATGCATAAGATTTTACAAGCCATTTTTTCCTTTATGAATATCTGACAAAACTTGAAGAATATAATGTTTTTGTTAGAATAAACCATTTTAAATCTATATCTTTAGTTTGTGTTGTCTTACATTATAATATATTTGGTTACATGAATTAATTCTGTTACCTGAGAAAATAGTGTTTTCTTTTTCTTTTAGCTTAAAGATGTTAATAGTAAATATTTAATCAAAATTTCCAAAGTTTTTTAATACTTAAACCATGCATTTGCTACAAGTATAGTATTTGATGTGCAGTTAAATCAGCCATGGTATATCTATACTTTATTTCTTGCACTGGATATATAGATATATATATATATACAGAGAGAGATAGTAAATATGTGCATATCCCATTTTAGTACGTTTAGACTTTTTTGGCTGATAGTGTTGCAGGATATCTATTTTGATCATGTATCTGTGTTCTCTAGCAACTTTGCAGTGTTCAAGTTTAGAAATACCTGGTGGCTATATTTTATGTTTTTTTTTCATTTTATAGGGTGGTTAATGATATTGGTAGCCTGTGCACTTTGAAAGATAGCCTGAACATTACCTACTTTATGAACCACTAACTTCAATATGACATATGATCGCATTTTGAAAATATGCAGTAATTCCGTGTTGACCTCAAGTAAATATGTACAATATAAATCACACAAACTGATAATCTGATAACAAAAACATGTTTTACTAGACAATTTATGTAAGGTGTTTTAATATGATGAAGATAAAAATGATATTCAACGATTAAGGGTTTGAGCCATCAGAATATTTTGCTGTCACCTACTGTACTGACTAAACCTAAGCTTATCAGATGTTTTCTGATCAAAGAAAATTTCTGAAGCTTTTAGACAGATATAATTTAACATGAACAAAAAGAATGTCTAAAGAAACTATAAAAATTCCCAGTTCTATGGGCTGTTACTAAGTCTTCAAAACTTCCCATTGAATGCCTTTGGTCAATGCTACAGGAACTTTGACTAGCAACTTTCCTATAAAACAAAAACACCTGCTAACATCACTTTATTTACTATACTATGATATGAAACTACTAATTCTTGCTCTACCCACTCATGTTTAAATTTTCCTTATAGCTATTTCACAAACTGTTTCAGTTGTAAAAGGTAAAACTACTTGATGTGACATCATAAAAGGGTGGCAACCAAGGCAGCTTGTACAAAAACGACAAGGAAAACACTTACAAATAAAGAAATGGATAATATATTCTAAAGGAGAGAGAGTTTCTTAGCATTAAAGCTATACTTTGGGATAGGCAGAAATATTCTAAAAAGATTAACAAGTGCATTAGTTACAGGCAAGACTCCTCAGAAATTTTTTCATTTTTATTCATGAATTATACCAAATAAATGAGGGAAAATGCTAAAATATTGATTACATTAAATTGTTGAAATAGAGTTAGAATTATTATTTTTACTTGAATTTCAAAATTTGATATACAGGTTTTCTTGACATATTGAAGGTGCTCGTTGGCCTTAATAGATTTAAAAGAAAATGAGAAACTTTGCAGTTTGAATTATTGCTAATAAATAAATATCTATTAAATTAAAATTTGTTAAGTTTTATTCAGTCACAGTAATGTATTTGTACTGACTCCCTTAAAAACTGAAACGTGACAGTTTGACAACGTATAATATAGACTTAAAATTTTTTGGTTTAAAAAATTTATAAGTGGCAAAAAATCATTTGGTGAAAAAGTATGAAAAGCCAGATTAAACCCTACAAATTATGTGTATTTTGTAAAGTAGTAATAGAGTTTAAATGGATTTATGATTCCATGGTGGAAATTATTTGAATATTTGTTTTTAATTTCTTTCAAAAATACCTTATTGTTGGAAACATTAGAAAATAAAGGACAAATTAAATAATTTATCAACAAAATATATTCTGTCTGTCATTCACTACTGATTTAATTATCAAACTCATCCTGACTAGTGTATATAGTTTTCTGTTACTTTTCTATCATTGAACTATAATATGGTTTTATTTCTTAGCTTTTGTTAGGCTCACAAGGTAAAGATATTCAAGAGGAACTTGTTTAGTGATGTACAGCTATGGTAATGATAACTAACTTTTCAATGTGGTATTGTTAGAACAGAACTGTTAAGTACACACTTTACAAAAATGTGTGAACAAAATAAATATCAAGGATAATTATTATTATACAAGAATAATTTCTGTCACTACTACCAGGTGCTTTTGGAATGAGTTAATTCAAATGAGTATACCATTTGTGCCTTACATCAATGTCTGTTTAAAAAACAATGTTTATATAAAATGAAAATTTGGTTGTTTGTTGTTTGGCGCTTTTGGGTGCAAAGCAACTAGGCTATCTGCATCTAACAACCGGTAAAATCTGTAAAAGTAAAATTGTCATAAAATGTAAAAATAAAACGAGTTGAAACTAAATAATGTCCAAAATTCAGATAATAGATTTAAATAGAATTAAAAAGACCAAGGGCTCATGAAAATTTAAAAATACAATCAATTTGGACAGTGTCACCATCGCCAAAGAAACCATTCAATGTCAGGGCCAAACCCTTAGAAAACACATGCCTAAAATGGTGCCATCGCTCAGAGTCATAACGATGGCATGACAATAAAATGTGGGCTATCGTGACTTGAGTGTCAAAAAGGCCACACATTAGTGGATCAGTTTCAGATAAAAGAAAATGATGAGTTAAAAAACTGTGACCAGGGCATAGCCTGACTAGGATAACTTCCTCCTTCTAATCCTTTCAGTAACAAGATGGCCAAAGAGCAACAGAAGGTTTTGTTCTGGAAAAGATTGTTATGATGTTGCACACCCCAAGTTGACTGCCAACTGGCATAAAGCTGCATCTTGAATACAGGACTGTAGTCCATGTATGGGACAGGCACGACTGTGACGGCACCAGAGCAGATGGACTTAGCTATGGTGTCAGCAAGCTCGTTCCTGTGAATATCGATGTGGCCAGGTATCCAGAAAGCTGAAAGGAAACAGAAGATAGAGAAAAATGGGCCATTCGTTGTTGAATATTGATGAGAATGAGGTGAGAACTAACATTAAGCAATTCCAGGGCCAGTAGAGAGCTAAGAGGGTCAGTTTAAATAGTACAATTGTTGTACTGCAAAGCTTCTATATGATCCAGGGCAAGAGAAATGGCATACAACTCGGCAGTGAACACAGAAACTGTAGAGAGGATCTTGTGAGCAGCCACTGAGCCATAACAAACCATGGCAGAGCCTACAGAGTTACCTGATTTCAAACCATCCATATAAATGGGAAGAGAAAACTGGTTCAAAAGATGTTTAGCAAAGAGAAGATGGTACATCCAATCGGGAGTATCCACCTTCCTCAGATGACTCAAGGAAAGGTCACATTCAGGGATGGTAATAAGCCATGATGGAATGGGCTGGTCATTGGGGACAGCAACGTCATCCAATGCCAGACCCAATTCAACCAGTTGTGCCTGGATACGAAGCCCAAAGGTAGGAATTGCAGACTGTCTGTTCTGAAAGAGCACAGCCCACCAAAGAAGAAAGACACAATCCCAGGTGAGATGCTGTGGTAAGGATTGAAGCTTAGTAGCATACTGTAGAGAAAGTTGCAAATGGCGGAGGTGAAGAGGAGGTTTGTGGGACTCAGTGTACAAACTCTGGACTGCAAAAGTACGGAAAGCCCCCCATGCAGAGCTGAAGCCCCAGATAGTGAATTGGTTCCAGCATCTTCGAGGCTGAGGTTCTGGCAAAACCATAGATCAGAGGCCCATAGTCCAATTTGGATCAAATGTGGGCACAATAGATCTTGAGCATATAACATCGATCCTCTCCCCCAAGAGGCGGAAGAGAGGACACAGAGAATGTTCAGTGCCCTTGTACACTTGACATGTAGCTGCTTTATGTGAGGAATAAAAGTAAGCTTACAGTCAAAGATAAGCCCCAAGAACTTTGCCTCAGGAACCATGGGAAGAACAACATCACTGAGATCGGGTTGTAAACCCCATTGGTGGCAAAAATGCAAGCAAACAGTTCTGGAAAAAGAAAAGATAAAACTGTTTGCTGTGGTCCACTTCAACAAGCAATTGAGAGCAAGCCTGAAGCTGCTGCTCAATAAACTTCATGTTTGACAACCTACACGAGATGTGGAAGTCATCGACATAGAGTCCGTGAGCAACAGCATGAGGAAATTGTGTAGTTATAGAATTGATCTTGATACTGAAAAGTGTGACACTCAAGAGGGTCTCCAAATTCCTGTGTGAAAGAATGGAAAGTGTCGAACCCACACGAACTTGGAATCACCTTTTGAGTAAAAAGTTCTGAATAAAAATGGATAGATGGCTATGCAACCCATAGGAGTGGAGGTCACGCAAAATGCTGTACCTCCAGGTGGTGTCACAAGTCTTTTTCCAGATTGAGTATAACAGAAACAAGATATTCCCTCTTCAGAAAGGCTTCCCTGATCAATGTCTCAAGTCGAATCAGGTGGTCTATGGTGGAGTGCTGTCGACAGAATCCACACTGGATGGGCGAGAGGAGGTTGTTTGATTCAAGGAACCAAACAAGATAAGCATTAACCATCCTCTCTAAGACCTTACAGAAAAAGCTAGTCAAAGTGATTGGAGGATAATTAGAAGGAATCTTGGGATCCTTCCCTGGCTTAGAGAAGGGTAGTACATTAGCCTGGCACAAATCATCAGGAAACATGTTCTCCTGCTAGATGCGGTTATAAACAACCAGAAGAAGAGCAAGAGAGGCGGGAGAGAGATGGCGCAGCATCTCACAGTGAATGTCATTGGGTCCGACCTATGATGTTCCAGACTGATGAAGAGCAAGCTTCAATTCCACCAGTATAAAGAGGTGATTATAATCGTAGAGATGATCAGCTTGAAAGGAAAGAGGTGATTGCTCTGCCTGAGACTTGATGGCCAAGAAGGTGGGGGAAGAAATGGAAGTGTTGGATGCACAAGAAAAACTCTGAGAGTATCAGCAATGTTCTGTACATCAGCAACTTCCTGGCCACTGGATAGCAAGATGGAAAGGGGATGGGAATAATAGCTCCTATTGACCTTCCGAATCTTGTTCCATATGGCTTTGGAACTGGTGGTAGAAAAGATCCTAGTTGTAAACTTAATCCAATATTCCTTTTGGCTTTGACATTTGACTGCCGATCATAGGCATGGGCCCGCTGGAAAGTGATGTGGTTGGAAAGAGTGGGACACCTACAAAAAGTATCCAAGGCCCATTTCTGGGGTCTTCTGTGCCCACTGGCAGGCGAGAGACCACCATGGACGAGGATACCATGGGAAACATGTCAAGGTTTTAGGTATAGAATGAACAGCTGCTTGAATGAAGCAATCAGTTATTGCCTCCATGCAGTCATTAATACATGGAAGACTAACAATAGCAGGATCAAGTTCCGAGAGAGAGGTGAAATAGAGCCAGTTGGCCTGGTACAACCTCCACCTTGACACTCGGGTTGGGTGGTATCAATTACAGCCAATCTCCCTCAAAATGATAGGAAAATGATCACTTCCACGTGAGACACTGTCAACCCTCCAAGAAAAGTGAAGGGGAGCAGATAGATAGATCAATGGCAGTAAAAGACTGACCAGGTGAATGAAAATAAATATAAAAACCTGTATTGAAGAGAGAAAGATTATGATCCGAGAGCATACACTCTGTGAAACGACCCCTCCCATTAATATCAGCACCACCCCAGGGTGGATTGTATCAATTAAAGTCTCCCAGGATTAAAAAAGGAGATGGAAACTGTTCAATGAGAGCATCAAGGTCTGATTGATCATAGGTTTCTCCAGGAGACAGGTAGAGAGAACAGACCCAAGGAAACACAGGTGGCTACGGCTTCCAAGGGTGTATTGAGTGACACAGACAAGATGGGAATGTGCTGATTGATCAGCAGTGCCACACCTCCATGCAGTCTATCACACAACCTGTCATTCCGGTATAAAGAAAACTGCCGAAAGGTGATTCTATTGGTAGGTTTCAGGAATGTTTCCTGTGAGGAAAGACACACGGGATGATAGGAATCGATCAAGGCCTTATTGCCATCCAGATTAGAACAAAAACCTCAACAGTTCCACTGTATCAAAGTGGCCATTTTTACATAGGTGGAGTAGAACTGGGCAGAGAACCCTTCTGTTTACGACCATGAAATATTTCTTTACTAGAAGGAGGTCTGTTGACCTCCATGGATCCTGCCCTTGGTCGAGTGGGCAGATCTCTGTCATTAGATTTAGATTCTAGTGACTGAGGGCTTGAACGGCTAATCGTTCTGCATCTTGGGGCCAAAGAAGAAGGACCTGAGCAGACACCAGAGGCCGGGGACGAAGAATGTGGACCCGGGCAGTCACTGGAAGGAATGATGGAGACAGAGATAGGAGTAAACGTGGACTTGTCAATTCGTTTATCCATGGATTTCAAAAAAATTTTCACGTGGTGTGAAAAAGACTCTGATGGAGGCACGGAAAGGTCCGTCTGCACTCCCACTGTAGCAATGGAGTGTAGTGCAGCAACATATGTCCAAGATGGAGTAGGGGACAATAACTTCCTAGCCTCAAGGTAAGAAATATTGTTAACCATTTTTAAATGCTGTACCTCTTTCTCCTCCACCCACTTAGGGCAAAATCTATAGTAAGAGGGTTGGGAAATACTACAATTAACACAGTAAGGGTCCAGTTCTCACTCGTAAGTGTTGTGATCTTTGCCATCACAACGAGCACATGTCACAGAACCATGACAAGATGCCCTTGAATGACTGAACCGCTGACACTGAAAACATTTGAGAGGGTTGGGAATATATAGCCGTACCTTACAGTTCAAATAACCTGCCTTGAAACCGGCAGGTGGACGTGGCGATGTAAATGTGAAGATAAGAATGTTGGTAGGCAGCATAATTCCTTCTTTACTAATGGAGACAAGTCGCACTGCAGAATCTCCTTGGTTGGAGAAGTCAGTGAGGATCTTCGACTCGGGGATGTTTTTCAAATCCCTTTGAACAATAACTCCTCATGAGGAATTCAAACTAGCATGGGGAGTAACCTCAATGGGTATATCCCTAATGACCTTCGAATTCAAGAGGAGTTCATTGTGTTTTGGTGTAGATGTTTCCACCAAGATATCCCCAGAACGTAGCTTCTTGACTGACTTTGGAGAGCCAGCAAGCCCCTCTAATCACATCTGAATAAAAAAGGGAGACATTTACCCGAAAGTTTTTTTTTTGACAAAGAATGCATGATAAAAAAACGAGGTAAGGGTACAGACTAGGGTGGAGACTGCTGTTCAGAGTATTCAAGGCATGGTTGTTTACCAATGAGCAAAGTTTTACTATTTTTTTTTTAGGATTTGGGGGATCCATAATAAAAGGAGAGATTCAGTGCCCACTGACCCCACCCACCATGGGGTCCAATGAGGGGATGTACTATAATGCCAAATAAGGACATTGCAGCAATGCCAGGGTTTCGCGAGCACTATACCCAAACACCAGCATCATACACACAATGTCCACAACACCCATTGATCATAGCCCAAGAGGACCAGCCAATTGACCCTGGAGTGGACCACCCCAAGGCCACCCATCTACAGGAATTCAAAAACGTGGGTGAATGTTCAGATCCCACAGAAGGTAAATTGAAAATACAGAAACTTCCCTGGGAGGTCCCCTCACCACATACAGGAATCCACTTCTAGGGGATGAAAATTTGATAAAAATACATAAAAGAAAACATTACTGATGAAAATTATTAATTAAGAGGTAAAATGTGAAACTTCATTGATATCAATGCAACAGAAAAAAACAATTAATCACAAAGATGTTGATAAAAATGACTAGAATAGTAAAAAAATTTTGAAGTTATTTGGAAGTTCCATGAATTGAAGGTTTTTTGGAGTCTGAAGGTTTTTTAAATCATGTTCATGAAAAAAAAAGGTGTTCAATATGTTTTGAAGTTACAGTAACCAGAATTAATTAAGTGAGATTTAGTTTCTATTTATACAGCATAAATAATATATATGGTTTACTCCAAATTATTTTTCAGTAGTGAAAGTTATTCGTTAGGGTACAGAAATTTACAGTTAACATTTTTATCCCAGACTTTGTGAGAACATATAATTATCAAACACTAGAAGATAATGAGAACTTGGTATATGATATCATATTTTGATAACATGTTTTGTCTTCCTAGAATATACATCTAATAATGGTTGTAGAGCTCCATTATGGAGGCAAGTTCATGGTGACATTTGTTATGTGGTAGTTAAACCTTTTGATGATCCTCCATTTTGTGTTACATTCACAACAGCTGGAGTTTTTCAGAACAAGGTAAGACTTTGTCATAGTTTAGAATTTAAGTCAAAAGTTTTTAGTTCTTAAAATTTAGTACCCATTATAATAGTTATAATAATTTTAAGGTATTTTTGGTTTTATTAGTTTCATTTTTGATTTATCATATTAATTTTATTTTATTTGAAATTTATCTTCATCAACAGTTGTACGAATTAAACACTTGTAATTTTGGATTTGATCAGCAAATGGTTTAAAAATGTAATTTTATTGTTTTCTGGTTATGAAGCATCTACCTCATTCTTAGTATGATCAAGAGGACTAAAGGATTGAAAAGTATCCTTGAAATCCATGAAGGGATAACTTGTATTAGATGAAGCAATGTTGCATATGCCATGTGTTATAAACTCAACAAGCTGTTGTTTTGTAGAATGAAAACAAAGAATGTACATTGTGTTTAAACAAAGAATTGTTTCTAATGCTAATGAATAACTTAATAATTTCTTAACAAGGAAACAATACCATATTGTCTGCAGTATTTCCGAACCATTCTGATGTTCCATAATTTATAAATTTTTCTGACATTAACAGTATTAATTATTGACTTAAAAATCCTAGACTTTATCATGCAGATGTGTCACTAATATGAAAACTGGAATGCAAACTCCAGGAGAAAGGTTTTACTTTATCCAGCAAACCAATTGTAGTAATCTGTATATTTAATTCCCTTAAGTCCTTCCTTTGCTCTTTCTTTAAAGAACCTACTTTCCATCATTTGGCTTAACGATAGCTGTATATATGGAACATTATGGGTTTGAGAATCCACATCTACTCCTACATTGCAACCTTTAAAAAATGTATAGATGGTTCAGTTTTTAGTTCTAATTTTATTTCATATGTGAGTCTTACAAATAAAAGTTAAATCTGGTAGATGGTGTATCCCCATTGTCACATGGGTCCTATGTGTACTTCTTCAGATACTTCACTTACTAGGATTCATTTTACCTTTCCTACTTTATAATTACTATGAAAGTTTTATTTGTCTCTCCTTTATGTGTGAAATGTTTTATTTGTGGTTTAATTGTTTGAAAAACGTTTTTAAAACATCATTCAAGGTAAGAATATGGTATTATATAATGCTATTTTTCTGTAGATGTTAAAGTTAACATAACTGTTGCATACTTATTATAAATAAGTAAAAAATACATAAAGAGTTTCATCAAGATATTTCAGTGTGTGTATGTGATGTATGTTTTTATTACAAGATGTCACTATTTTGATCATATAACTTTGAAGTATATTGATCAATAAACTTTCTTTTATTTATAATATACTTCAGCCAAAATTAAATGAACAAAATAATGCAGTTCATTTGTTATTAACTTTTGAAGTGATAATGATTGCTTTATGATCTATGTTATTATTAATTGAGTACATTGATATGCTTTTTATTATGTTTTGAGAATGTCTATATTCAGTGAAAAGTAGTGATACTATTTCATTGTTTTTTTAATAAGACCATGCTATGTGTGTATACAAAACTAGTTATACAAAAAAAATACTGTTTTAGAAAGTAAATTGGATTAAAAAGTTACAAATGCATGAACATCTTGTTTCCAGTAAAGGGGTCAGTATGTAGGATTTTAAATCAATGATGTTTTTTTATTATTGTTACTGATGAGTGCATACATTTAAATGTATCTTAACTCTTTTTACATAGCAGTCATTTTTAATATTATTTTATGCCATTAAATACAGTTGAGAAAAAGCAAAAATATCAGTAAATAAAACTTCATGAAGGTTTTTTTTCTGTAGTAGGTAATATCAATCCTAAATATAAATAATTAATAAATCCAGCTTTACAATCCGTGTATTAAATTTCAGAGAGGCTGTGGTATTTTCTACAAACAAGTAACTTATCCTGAAGATATTTTAAGTACATTTCAACTGTTTTTTAATGTATGCTGAGTAATTTCTTTACCAATTCATATGATTTTAATAATAATCTGAAGTTTTACATTGCTTTGCTTTACTTTGGCAAATTAAATTCAAGAATTACAGGTTTGTATTTTAATTTTTCATGAACAATACGAGTCAGTCAGCTGGGGAAAACTTGCATTATTGAGATCGACATTCATTTATATATCTCAACAGGTTTTGGTAGTAATGGTTGTTAAGAACTAGTTTCCATGTGTTGTGACCAATAGCATTATTGAGATCAACATTCTTTTATATCTCTAAACAGGTTTTGGTAGTAATGGTTGTTACGAACTAGTTTCCATGTGTTGTGACCCATAATTATAATGGGTCGACTAACTTTACAAATGTTTTTCAACACATTATTGAAGCAGTTCCATTTTATATTGTTCAGCTGAATCTGACTTTCACTTGGCTGTACAGTACACTTATGGTTCACTATACACTCAGAAATATTCTGCAGAACCTAGCCATCAGCAAAAGAGATAATGTTAGCATATATGAGTATACATGTAGTATTTTCAGGTAAACTGATATCCCAAAAGAGTAAATAAGGTAGATCTGCCATATAATGGGAGGTTCAGCAAGCTAAATTGCAAAGTAATTCTGAATTACTCTAAAATTAACTGAGACTGTGCTAAGAAATAAATGAATCGGACACAAGGAAACAATGAAAGGACAATATTTCACATGAGGTTATAAGTGAAAAAGCCAATGAGTCAAAAATGTCTCCAGGACTTCTGGCTAACAGAGTTATGACTTGGTCTTTGTACATATCACAACATAATATGGTGATCATATTTACAGTAAAAAGCTATGCAAGTGAAAGTTGACAGGGACAGTTTGTACTTTCTAATAACTTAGTAGTAGAGCACTGACTCTGTTAGCCAGATGTCCTGGGTTGAAGTCTTGTTCCCTAAGTTGTTTTTCACAGAAACTTTAAAGTACTCATTTTGAAATAAGACATTTGCTTTGTATGTTACTGAATATTGTAAAAGTTTTACCATGTACTCCATTTTGTGCTTTGTACAGTTTCCTATGCTTGCCAGCTGTTACTCTTCATGTATGTTAGTGTCTTAAATATACATTCTTAAAAACTTCAGGGCTATGATATTACATCTGGAAGTGTAGAGTATGAGAAAGATGGAGAATTATATCGAGATCTCACCACGTTACTGAAAGAAAAGAACTTGCATTTTTCTGAAACAGTCAACAAAAAGGTATAAAAGGGTTTTTTGAGTCTTCAATTAACTACTGTATTAATAATTAGTTAATAATAGCTGTAATTATCTTTGTACTTGATTTTTTGCTCTTATCAAACTAACTTGAATTACTCATTGAACTTTATTTAGATTAGCTTTTAAGATCAATGAAACATTTAAATACCTTAACATACTGCTATAAGTAAAGTATTTGTCATATTATTGTCAGTGTATATATTGTGTAACTATTATATACTGTTATGACAGCGGAAGTCACATGATGCTAGTGACACATCATGAGATTCTTGAAGGATCTTGACTTTTCCTGGCAACTCTAGTCTTTTCTAGGTGCCTTCTGTTTTAGTATATAAGCCTGGCAAATAAAGCAGAGAGATAATTGCAGATAGAGAAATATAGAGACAGATAAATGTGTCAAGTGAGCGGTAGTGACCGTAAGTAAAGTGTGTGAATTGTTGTGAATTATAGCGTGTGTTTAAGTTAAAGTGGCCATGGAAATTCTGTGTATTGCAAATTTGTATTGAGAAAGAATAAACTAGTTTTATTTAAGAAAGGACTTGTATCGCTGAAGTTTCTCGGGAAGAATTTATACCGGAAATTAACAAACAACCAGAGACGTAACAATACATTAAACTAGAAATCCAAAAATAATTTTACATTGTGCTTTTGATAAATTAAACATAAAAGAAATAATGATAGAAATTAGATTTCAAGTATCATAATCTGCAAAAACAAAGTTTCTTTGTCAGGATTTGGTACTTTCTTATTGAATCATTATTTTGTAAATATTGTTTTTGATAAAAGTAGCATCATTTATTTTTGGTCTAATATTCCAAAATGTTACATGATGATGACTGATTGTTGTTTACAGTTTACTGCATATGCACAACATAATTTCTGAAATGCAGAAATAGCAACAATTAGAATATGGAGTTAGCTACTACTATTGTTACACAGTTTTGTTTTATTAACTGAATCACTTGCTATAATTTTATATATCTGATATGCTAATATTTCTTTTAGATCTTGGAAATATTGTTTCTAGAAGGAAAAGTGATGATGTAAGGTTGTTTTACTTTTGTTTTTAGTGATTGCCAATGATCAAGTGTGTGGCATGTTGTGATTGGTTAAATTCTGTAAATTTAAGTATATTTGTCTAATCATGTTCTGTTTCTGTAATGATTAGGTAAATCTATCTTTCAGTCATTTTTTTAAACAAAATTTAGTAAACAGAAAGTAAATTATTGATAGAATGCATTTCCAATTTCATAAATGCTTATTTCTGCCTAAGGAGAAAAAGCTTGCTAAAATATTAGTTGAGAAATACCAAGCTGAATATTAGCAAATGGACTATTTAGCATAAAGATGGTATCTGAGAAAACTGTGATTATTTTCAGGCATGTTTCCTAGTTTTTTCAGTAGCATATGGAAGGATCAGTAAAATAATAATCTTTATAGTTTAATTGTGCTTGATAGAGATTATGGTAAAGTATGTAGAAAAAATATGTAAACATAAATTTTACCTCCGATATTTGCTCTCTCAGCCCTTAAATCTCTAAGTCTTGCACTGCGTAGGAGATATAAATCTATGCATACGTTTCCATTAGCCATTCACCATAAGTGATAGGTATCCCTATGTGTGTGTATAGCTCAACTAATTTTTACTCAGTTCACTATGGTGGCAAAAGCTTTTAAAAATGTATATGCTTAAGACTATACAAGCATGATTATTTTAAATGTATGCTGCCAAGACGTATTCCTGTATTCAGTGATTGGCACAGATATCACCATTATATTCAACAAAGGTGTGCAGCATTTTTAACACTTTATGTATATTTGTACACAGTTCACTCATTGAACTGTGTGAACAACTATGGTGGTTAACCTATCAGACAGAAGAAACATTTGTTCTTTGTTATAATCATGTTTACAAATTATGTACGTAGTCCACTAAACAAACTATTCATATTAAACTTTCCGATGTACGTATCTGCGTGTGATTAAGTAAAAAGCTAGAAATGTTATATAACAACATAATATACATCTATGAATCTACACAATATACATTTTCCACACTGGTTAAACTATCTTGGAAGAAAATGTGAGTTTTGCATGCACTGAGTATCAGTCGTATGATTTCCAAGCACTCATTTGAAATACACTAAGAATTTTCAAACAGGTATTTAAAACATGTTAAAGCCAAGAAAAAGTTCTGTGTTTTGGTTATAATGTTTTTGGTTAAAGGTGATGCAGTGATGAAACTTTTCAATATATTTATATACAGGAATCTTTCTTAAGTATGAACTGAACAAGTGTCTCATTCTACTAACATACATTTAAAAACTTATTGTAATGAAATATCCTATGGAGAAAACAATTATATAGTTCATATTTCAAGGTAAAGGTTGCTTCTTTGATATGAAATCAACATTGAATTTGAAAATAATTACAGAAAATCAATTATAGAAGACTTCAGTAGAGACATTAAGTTTACATGAGAATATAATTTTCAAGTATATAGAAATGCATATAATAATAGAAGAGTAACATTTAACAGTAAACATACTTAAAGACTACAGTAGAACTTTCTAGAAATTAGCACTAATTACACATACTTTATGTTTTTAAATGCTTTGTAAGACACAGTTATGGAGACATGTTTATTTGTATCAATAATTTGTTAGCATTAAAAACATTAACATTTTAAAATATATTTTCAATGAAAAGTCCTCCTAGTGGTTTGGCAGTAAGTTTGTTTACTGACAACACTAAAATATGGGGCTTAATTCCCCAAGTTGAAAATAATGCCAATAACCCATTCTGTAGCTTTGCACTAAAATAACTACGGTGACAACAAGAACCACATAAATTGTATTTAGTTATGCCAGTGTTGCAAAAGGATCAAATGTAGATTATTAACTTCTGTTTATTGTATTATGTACAATAAAACAGTTTTATGTTTTATTGTACATTTTTTGTTATAGCTTAAATTTCTCCAGTATGGCTAAAAACACACAGTTACTTTATTCACAGTGATTAATTAAATGAAACTCTTAAAGGGAACACAGTATGCTTTTTTGTTTGTTATTACAGAATTTAAAAAGCTGGTAGTCTTTAAAATAATACCATGAAGTACTACTTTGAGTTAGAAACACAAAAGTTGGTAATCAGAACTTTAATGTAATGTGTTGGAACATAACATTTTTTTCAAACTTACATGAAAAAGTAACATTTGTATAACCTAGATCAAATGTGTTTGTACACACAAAATTTAACTAAAACTGTTAAAGATTAATATATAAGAATTTATTTTCACCATCATTTAAGCTTCATTGTAACTTATTAAGAATTCAAGTGGCAGATGTGTGAATAACACACCACACACTATTAAAAAAGGTAATTACCAGGATGAATA